TGACGTGCAGCATCTTTAATGGATGGTTTTCTTTTTGGTGTGGGAGGAGAGGTTGTTTCCTTTGATTTTGTTGTTCTCTTTAGTCTTGAGCCACCTGAAAGTCCCTTTTGTATTCGGTTTAAGAAATCTTTCGCTATGCTGAAGTCAAAAGACATTCTTAGGTTTTTCTGTAAGAATTTGTTGATAGTTTGCTTTTTACTTCTAGGTCTTTTTTTTCACCTGAAATTGATTTTCGTTTGTGGTGGATTTCATTTTTATTTTTTTCTAAATGGATGATAGTTTATCCTAGCACCTTTTCGTGAGTGGCCCATCATCCCCCAATCCGCAGTACCTGCCCCATCTATCATGTTTCCATGCATGCGTCTTTGTTCCTGGTGCTCTATCTTATTTCATTAGACTCTTCACCCCATACCAATGTCACACTGTCTTGACTTCTGGTTGGGTGAGTCCCCCAGGTCTTAGTCTTCTTCCTGATTGTCTTTCCCTTTAGTATTCCATTTACATTTTAGAATCCTGGCCAGTTTTCAAAAAAAAAAAAAAAAAGTCTTGGGATTTTGATTGGAATTGTATCTAATTTGTATATTTAGGGGGAATTAACGTATTTTTGTACTATTAAGTCTTTCTATCCATTAATATGATATACTTATTTAAGTTTTCAATAATCTCTTTTGTTAAGTTTTATAATTATTTCCGTAAAGGCCATGCATGTCTTTTGTTGATATGTACGTAAGTACATTATGCTTTTTTGTTTCTTAAGTAATATCTTCTTAAAGATAAGATTTTCCTTTTTTTAAATCTTGTTAGTCTTTTAGAAAAACACACTTTGTACAATCTCTATATTTGTATTTCTTTCTGCTCTTACGTTGATCTTCATTTCTCTACCTTTTTGGTTTTGTTTTTCCTTTTCTAACTTCTTGAGGTGGATGCTTAGATTATTTCCAGCCTTTCTTCTTTTCTAATGTAAACATATTAGGCTATAAAATTTCCTTTAATCATTTTTCCTGTAAAATTTCCCTATAAATACTTTTTTCCCTTGTAAGATCCACCCACACAAGTTATTATTTATTACTAGATAATACTTTGCTGCAGCTTAGTTTTGAGTATTTTCTAATTTTCCTTCTGGTTTTTCTTTGACCTATCTGTTGAGAGGTGTATTTTTTAAATTTCCAAATGTATGGATTTTTTGGAAATATTGTTTTTAATTGATTTCTGACATGAGTGCATTATAAAAGGAGTAAATGGACTATTTAATATCAGTCCATTTAAATTACTTGAGATTTCTTTTATGTTCCAGTTTCTGGGCATTTGTGTATTTTCTTACTTACATGACTGTTTGATCAACTTGTTAATTTCATTGTTCACATCTTGTAAGTCTTCATAGATTTTTTTGGTCTTTTTAAAAATCTTCCAAATAACTTGGAGAAGTAATTCTATGTTCTGAAGTGAATTGGTTTATAACCCTTCTGTCAGTTTTACTGGGTGTGTTTTAAGCCTGTTATTAGTTACATGCAAAATGAGAATTTTTATTTCTTCCTGATAAATTGAACTCTAGAGATCATGTCATGGCCATCTTCACCCTAATAACGCTTTTTAAAACATCTTATTATACAAAAGCAGAGAGAATGTTGGAACAAACCCCCATGTAGCCATCACCCAGCTTCAGAAATCATCAGCTTATGGAAGGTCTTGTTTCATTCACACTGTCTCCCAGATTATTCTGAAGCATATTCCAGTCATCATATTGTTTCATCTGTATATTTTAATGATGATTATTGCACTAAATCTGTTTTGGCTAATATTTTTTGGTATGCCGTATTTGTTCTTGATAACTTTATCTATCCTCTGGCTTTTCAACATTTAAATATGTCCTTATGCTTTAGATACTTGTCTCTTGTTAACAGCATGGCTAAATTTGCTTCTAGTTCATTCATACAATCTGTATCTCAGTCTGTTGGTTTAGTCATCCATCTTTATGGTGGGCTGGTGATCTATCTGGAATTGTTCCATCTTTTGTACTTTCTGTTTTTACTGTATTTTCTATCCTTTCACGGCTTCTTTTGGATTAACTGATTTTTTAAAAAATAACATTTCCTTTTCTATTCTTTTAATTTTACTTCAAACTCTTATTCCTTTAGCAGATAACTTTTACATTTCAACAGGCATACTGGATTTAAAGTCTAAAGTTCATCAGACTCTCTGAGCCTTTCCTAACTAAAACATGGACTTTAGAACACTTTAAATATGGATAAGCCCCTTCCAAACCAGCATGTTTTTGTTGTCCAATTTTTTTTAGTTTTAACTTTTGTTTAATTACCCAAACCACTTATTTAGCAGTTTCCTTGCTTACCCTTCTTTTCTCGTAATTTAGACCTTCTTTTAGAATCATCTTCCTTTTTCCTTCTAAAACAAAGTTTAGTGAGAGTTTGCTGGGCCTGAAACGGTCTTATTTTGTCTTGGTTTTTCTAAATTTTATTTATTTTTTTGTACTTGTTGAGACTATACACAGCAAACATACATACACCAATTCAACAGTTTCTACATGTACCAGTTTGTCTTGGTTCTTTAATACTAGTTTAGCTGACTATGTAATTCCAGGAAGACAGTTGTATTTTTTAGCACTTTTATTGTATTATTCTATTTTCTTCTGGCCCCTTGGTTGCTCTGGAGAAGTCTGTAGTTGGCCCTGCTGTTCCTTTGTGGTGTTTTCTGTCTGCTTTTTTTTTTTTTTTTCCTATTTTTGTAACATTTTATATAACTCATAAAACAGTGCTTGTATAAAAATTCACACAAAGTTGCTACAGAGCATACAATTTCCAAAAATGTCCTAGGTTTTTGTTACATTCAGTTTTCTAAGGATGCACTCAAATCAATGGTCAAATGCAGACATTATGTGACATTTCATTATCTTTGGTAAAACCATTCTCATTATTTTGTCTCCTCACAGCATTTACTCTGATACCCACTTTGTGCAGGGTCTGCTATTACTAGGATGTCAGAAAGCAAAAAATATGGAATGCTTCACGAATTTGTGTGTCATCCTTGTGCAGGAGCCATGCTAGTCTTCTCTGTATCGTTCCAATTTTTAGTATATGTGCTGCTGAAGTGAGCACTCTCTACTTTTAAACTCACCTCTTTGCTTTGTGGTTTCAGTAAAGGGTGTCTTGGTTTATGTTTCTTTTTTATTTATCCGAGTCCTACTGCCTAACAGAGAACCAGGTGAGTAGTCTTCAGTTAAACATATCTTCATTCACACACATTCTCTAACCATTGCTCCACACTGCCGTCTCATGTGGGGATCTCCAGGCCTAGGGCTCCTGACTCAGTGGATCCTTCCCCCCTCATAGGAAAGGTCACTAGGGAGACTCAGGTGTGAACAAGACAGGGCCGGCCCAGATCCACTGACTAAAGGACACTGGGTCCTACTGACTTGTGTCTCTCTTAGTTTTCCAGAAATTATAAAATGAAAACATGTCCTTTCTCAGGCCACACACCTCCTGTTCATACTTGATTTATTTCACTTAGTCTGACCCCACCTAAAATATGATAGGAAGTCTTGTTTCAAATTATACCTTGTACCATTAAACCCACGACCATCCAGTCGATTCCGACTCATAGAGTCCAAACCTGTAGGACAGAGTAGAACTGCCCCACAGCGTTCCAAGGTTGTAATCTTTAAGGAAGCAGACTAACACATCTTTTTTCTGCAGAGCGGCTAGTCGTTTCTAACCTCCAACTTTTTGGTTAACAGTCAAGCGCTTTAACCACTGCACTACCATTGTTCCCTTAGTACCATTATCAGGGTTAATTCGTGCAATCTAGTAAAGCACCTTCCCTGGAGCCTGGAGAACCCAGGGCATCCAGGAACTACTGAAAGTGAATCCAGAAGCGTCACAGGAGAGGTTCAGAGACCCTCCAGGCTGCCTCATGTGTCCACCAGACTCCACCAGCTGCACCTCCCACTGCACACGCGCAAACACAGAGACATCCTGGTCAGGGAAACCATCACACATATCTACTGTTTTTCCCACGCACACTCACTCATATACTCAATATCTCCTGTTCTTCATAAAATGACCTTTCAAAATAGTAACAAGGAAAACACAGCTCAGGCCAAAGTCCATGCTGACTCATGTGTTCAGTCCAGATCACAGAATGGGGACACCTGGCTGATCCTCAAACACCCTGACTCTATCCTGCCTCAGATGGTTGCACATATTGCTCCCTTCACCTAAGTCATCTGTCCACAGGTATTTGCACGTCTCAGTCCACCTTCTTGTAAGGACTCTGAGGGAGGTCTCCCTGACTCCTCTGCAACACCCACCCTTCCCTCACACTCTGCCCTCCCCCTGGATTGAGTTTCTGCACAGCACTAATCACTGTCTGGTGTGATATGCACGTGTGCATATTCACTGTCTGGTGTGATACACATGTGTGCATGTTCACTGTCTGGTGTGACACGTGTGTGCATGTTCACTGGTGTGATACACGTGTGCATGTTCACTGTCTGGTATGATGCATATATTCTATATGTTGATGTTCTGTTTCCTTCGCGTCAGCTGCTCCAAAGCAGTTATTCTGATGTCTTGATCAATCTGTATTTCCAGTCCTGGGACCCAGTCTAGCACAGAGTAGAAGCTCACATGACAATTAATTCATATAATGAATGCATGAATGACAGCATATGAATATTTTTTAGAAATATGGAGGAGATTAAGAAGAAAGAGCTAAAAGGGCCACAAGAACTGCCTTGGTGGGAATTGGCCAGTGCCCGATAACTTGTTTTTGCCTCTAGCACTGTGTGCTGTTAAACATTTTGTCCCTGAATTATTAAACAATAAAATCAGAACAAAAACTTAAAAAGTTACAAAAATTGCTCCAAAGTAAAAAGCATGTGAAACAAATCCTTCATTTCCGAAGCACCTGATTTGAATTTCACGGACTTCAGATGGACTCTACTCTACTTATGGTTTGGACAACGAAACTACGGAAGGAAAAGGGTCTCAGCGCCCACCTGTCCCTGCAGTGAACTCCTTCTGCCTGCTGTTCCACTTGATGTCCAGCTCCTGACCATACTCATCCCCATACCAGACCAGCAGTTCACAGCCAGGCCAGATGGCACGGCAGGTCCGGTAGAAGATCTGCCTATGGTACTGAAAGGCCACCAGGTTCTGCTACTCTTTGTCCTGGGTGTAGTTCACATACTTGAGGTTGACTGGATGGGAGAGAACGACTGGCGGTGAGTGCCTATGGTGGTTAGGGCCTGGTCCTGCTCCCTCCTGATGTTCGATGCCCTGACCCTCCCCACTCCCTCACTGCTCCTCACGGGAGCCTTCTGTTCCCATCTCAGCTTTGTTTGTGATGCCACATGAATTCCTTTCCCCACGCCCCACTCATGGTGATCAGCCTTTGGAGAATGCTCCTCAACCATGTTCCAAAGCCCAATTCCAGACTTAACATCCACCTTGATTGGCCATAAAAATAGTGAACTGCAGCATCTCCAAACTCTATATTAATTTGTGTGGTGGATGCTTCTCACTACCCAGGAGTAGCTGCTGTTGGCTGCTTCCTCTTCTTCTGTCACCTGGCCCTCGTAGGGACTAAAGTGCAGGCCCCGAATGCCTTGTTCCATACTTCAAGCCTAGCCTTGGGGATGCTGGATGGTCCAATTCCCAGACCAGAGTGATGGGGGTGCCCACTATCCATGGCACTGTCCTTTACAAACGTTGGGTCACCATGAGCTGCACAGCTATCAGTGAAGTTCTGACACTTCTCACAATCTAGAGGATAGAGCAGTAGGGATTAGGATGCAGGATGGAACATATTCTGACACCTCTCACAATCTGGCGGAGAGGGCAGTAGGGATTAGGATATAGGCTAGAACATATTCCTGGACATCAAGGGTAGAGGCAGAAAGAGCCCAGACCTCAATCCTGGACTCCAAGTCATTAGGGAAGGGATCTGTTTTGGGACCAGGACCTAAGCCTTCTGCTGGGGGCAGGAGGGTCACTTACAAAGGTAGTCGCCATCCTGGGGCTAGCTGACCTCCTGGTACACGAGGTCCTTTCTTTCTCAGAGGTTGTACGTCTTCACCTCAACCTCCTTTCTCCTGGGCTCTAAGGTGGAGAAGACTGGTGGGCAAGTTGACACGATGTACAGTGTGAGTCCCTGCCTTGTCAGAAAACAAGAGGTCTCCCATCAAATCATCACTGTTCTACAGACTCTGATTTCCCCATAGCTGTCAGTTCAGAGACCAAGACTCCACACACACTAACTACAGATGCTTAATCCAATTTTAGGTTCTGGCTTCTCCTGTTATCAGGTTTAACTTCTCAACCTTTCTACTTAAAAAGGGATTTGTCATGCATTTGCTCATTCTGAAAATATTTGCTGAGGGCATATTATGTGTTAGGCATTGAGTGGAGGCAAAAACACTGAAGACAGCTTGGTCCCTAACATCACAGATGGATTTATGGGACACCAGGCATGTGTCAGCTGCTTTATATTTATTTAACTCTTTCAAACAATTATGAGGTTGGTATTTTTATCCTTATTTTACAGATTAGGAATCTGGACTCAAGAGAATTTTGAAGATTTGCCCGCGCCCAGTGCTTCTGTGTGGATTATAACCCAGGTCTGTGACTTTGAAGGTAATTACATTCAATACTGCATCCAACTTCTGGTCTCTGCTTAAACCCAGGCACATAGACCATGCTCATCAACCTTTCTAGAGGAGCTGGAGGGACTAGTCCCAAATTACTTTCTCTTACCTGGTTTCTGTCTTGAGTGCTTATCAGAGGTACTTGCTTCTCCAGGAGGCAACACTGACTTCTGGGCCTGCTCTGGGCCAGCTCTGCTCAGCATAATTGTTCCTGATAATTCCTTCAAACTAGATTTATTACTTAGTGATGCCCTGAGTATTCCCTTTAAAATGAGTCATATATGAAAGGACAACAAGCATTTCTTTAGTGCTTTAGGACGTGACTTTGCTACATACATGACCTTAACTAGAGCTTCAACAACCCTGAGGCACCTGGGGACTCAGGATTCGAGGGAAGACGAAGGGTCCAGTGGGTAGTAAATCCCCAACCAGAACCCATGCCTTCAGGCTCTTTCCCTTTGGCTTTCTCTCAAATGTCTCTGTGTAAGTGCAAGTGAGGGAGGGAGAAGGCTTGGGGAGAATAGTTGAAATCAAGGTGTGTGAGAGAAAATGTGGGGCTTATAGAAAGAGGGAATCTTAGATAAACCAGTGGACTTTGGATGGGAGATAAAATGTATAAAAGCACGAAGTGGACAAAACACACTGGAAATGAGAGCGATGGAGCAGTGTGACTGGGAAGAGAACAGACATGGCTGCAGAAATGTATCTGGACAACAGAGACAGTGATGCTAAAAGTTGAAAATTGCCATATCCTGGAAAGAATACTTGGAATTAGAAAATATTGGAATATTGAAATTTAATTAGCTGGTTCCTGTACCAATTCTGCTAAGTAAGGGTGTACCACTAGCTAACTCTCTTGATCTTTCCTTTAGTTTCCTTATGCATAAACGGGCATTCATCCTAATTCTTAAGATTATAACCCATTGCCATCAAGTAGATTCTGACTCATAGTGATCCTATAGGACAGAGTAGAACTGCCCCATAGGATTTCCAAGAAACAGCTGGTGGATTGGAACCGCCAACCTTCTGGTTAGCAGTTGCAGCTCTTAACCACTGTACCACCAGGGCTCCTCTTAAGGTTATAGTGAACATTAAATGTAGTAATATTCATAAAAGCATTTTGTGCGTTACTGAATACAGTATAAATATGATATTATCAATTCTTTTTTTCACAGTTGTGCTATAAAATTCACCTCTTCAACCATCTCCAAAGTCAAAATCTAACTCACAGGTATCATCTTCAGCATTCCTTAACCCTCTTACTCACAGTTTAATTTGCAAATGTGCAATCACTTATTCAGAAAACATTCAGGGGCCTCTCAGGGGGCCTGAGACTTCTGAGATGAATCAGATATGGAACAGTCTCCCAAGAGTTCTCCATGCAGAGGGGCCGGCTGGCTAAACAGAGGAGTCAAACCACAGAGCCCAGTTGAGGGAGCTGTCACTTCTTCCAACAGGAATGAACATTTGAAATCAGTTGCAGAAGAATGCGTTTCTACTGAATAACGTGTAGCAGACAGAAATTCTTAAGTCATTGTCTTACTCATCTTCTCAATCATTAACCTGAAGCTCCGAGACTAGGAATTGCTTTCTCTTCTTAAGTGGGAGCCTGTGGTGTGGGGACCTATCTCCTTCTTCATCTGGGATCATCCACCTTACACATCGCCATCCACCATACAAATCGCCTTTATATTTGCAAGTGATAGAAGGACAAGGAAACCAGGTATAAGTAAGCTTCTCTTAGTCCAGGTCTTAGAGTGACAACCACTTCATCATAGCAGAGAAAGGCTAAGGTGTGAATCGTCAGCTGGACCTTGGAGGAGACACCCTGAGCTTTACAAATATGTGCAATTTTTAATGCGCAAGTAAGCATTTTGGATTAAACTCCACCTTCACTGATATTGTGATCTCAGGTGCGTAATTGAACATGTCTGCACCTCAGTTGGAGCCCTGGTGGTGCAGTGGTTAAGTGTTTGGCTGCTAACCAAAAGGTCACCAGTTAGAATCCACCAGCTGCTCCTTGGAAACCCTTTGGGGCAGTTCTATTCTGTCCTATAGGGTCGCTATGAGTCTGAATTGACTCGGTGGAAATGGGTTTGGGTTTGGCACCTCAGTTTCCTCATATATAAAATGGTGATCAGTGAAATATCTCCTCATAGGTTTGTTTGCACCAAGGGTGATTTGAAAGTGTTTTCTGCAGTATCATTAATTAAAGATTATGCTTAAATTGGAGTCCCTGGGTGGCACAAATGGTTAAGCGCTCAGCTACGAACTGAAAGGTTGGAGGTTCCAATACACCCAAAGGTGCCTTGCATGAAAGTCCTGGGAATCCACTTCTGAAAGTTTACATTCGTTGAAAACCTTATGGAGCACAGTTGTATTCTGACACACAGGGGGTTGTGATGAGACAGAATAGACTCAATGGCAACTTTTTTTTTTTTTTTAATGCTTCTATGGGGTGTCAACTAATCAGTTTCTTAAAATAAAAAAAAGAAAAAGAAAAAAAAATCTCATCTTTCCTTCACCCTGTTCTTAAGTTGTCTCTTATGTGATAAGGTTTAAGCGAGTTTATTCATGTAAAGTACTTAAAGTCCTGAATACTGTGGAAATAAAACAAGTGGTAGCTATTACTACTGGTGTTGTTACTATTAAGATGGTGATAGTGTTGGTCTGTGTGCTGGAGTGATCAGGAGAGGAATGCGGCAGTCCTGGGGCTCTATATATTCTCCTGCTTTTACCTGAGTAAAACCCAGCACTGGGTTTCACCTCTTACACTACTTTCGTGAGCCTAAAATATCTGAAATCCGTAGATGGGAATCATAGACCTTTAATTCAACTTGATCTTTCCTGTTTGGGCTGATTGACTGGGACCTTACCCCTTGAAATCCTGCTGGCCTCACCTTGCTGCCTAGATGCCCATTCCTCATGGGAATCCTCCGTGTCATCCGTCTGGGATTTTATGGACTGCCTTCAGTGACACATGAAAGCTGGGTGAGGGACTTTGAGACCTGGAAAGAAGCAAAATCTTTGTCCTCAGAGGAAAAAGCTGGGAGGAAAGAGGAAGGGCAGCAGCTCAGTGGATGGGCTGGGAGAGCCTAGCAGGGACACCAGAGAACCAACTTTCGCTGCAGGTCTCCCAGCCGGTTGGAGGGAATCACAGGAGTGCAGGGGCTGAGGCCTGTTGGTACCACCCCCAGCTAGAAGCACGCAGCACCACCTGTCACCTATAGTGACCAGCGCCTTGTAGTTCCTTTGAACTGTTCCTTTTCATGTTCCTGTAGCGGAATTTCTCCCACTCTCCCATCTCTTCCCATCCTTCCTTGGAGAAGTATATGGAAATATCTCTGAAAGCATCCTTGGCCTAGAGATGACACGGCCCCGCAATGGCTCACTAGTACGGGGTGCACGTCCAGAAGGCCAGTCCTTCCACCTCGCCAGGGAACAGCTGGGGGACAATGACTCTTCCTCCCTCCGGGGTGCCTCCTGATGAACTCAGCAGACCCTGGCATCTTCTAGCGCTCTCCAAACAGAACAGGTGCTGATGCTAGCGCCCTCATTCTCCTACAGCCACCTCCCCTTCCTTCCTTCCCGTGGACCTCCCTCCGCCTGCCACCAACGTGGATCCACCCCTGCCATCCCTCTACCCTCACCATGGACCCCTCCCTTGCCCTCCGTTGGACCACCCCTCCCTCCCTTTCCCTTGGGCCCCTCCCCCGGCACTACAGGTGAACCTCTCCTCCGCCCTCCTATTGGACCATCCTCTTCCCCTCCCTTGCCGGGGACCCTCCTCCACCGCACTCCCTATAGGCTTCCCTCCCCTCCCCTTAGAACTCTCCTCTCTCCTCCCTGTGGATCACCCCTGCCCTCCACCCTCACCGTGGCCTCCCCGCCTCTCCCCCAGGGCTCTCTTCCTCGACCCAGGCGGGGCTCATGGTGCCGGCACCACTTCCGGGCCCCGAGTGTCACAGCCCAAGGCCACAGCGCTTGTGCAAAGAGAAGATTCTAGAAGAGGCGACCGCCGGGACCACCGCCCAGACCACCGCTCCTGTGCCAATGTGTCCAGACCTGGAGACGCGGGGTGGGAGGACGGGGGCTGCGGGAGGTCCGGGTGCTGGCCGGTTGGGGGGTCCCTGAGGCCGGGACAGACCCCACAACATTAGTGCAGCTCTGCCTGAGGGGGGCCTCGGGGTCAGACGTGGACCTCAGGGTCCTGTTCCAGTGAGAGGACACGGCGTTTCTCAGATAAGGATCTGGGGTCTCTATCCCGGGATTCTGGAAAAATCTGAGCGTAAAGGAGGATAGATGTCTAAGAGAAGCGCTGTCTCAGACTGAGAGGATATGGGGTCTCTCCAGCTGAGGGGATGTGGGGATCTCTCAGGGTGAGGGTATTTGGGGTCTCTTAGGGTGAGGAGATTTGGGATCTTGGAAGAAGTACAACCAGAATGCTCCCTAGAAGGAAGGAAGGTGACACTACGCTTACATACTTTAGACATGTTGTCAGGAGGGATCAGTCCCTGGAGAAGGACATCATGCTTGCTAAAGGACCGGGTCAGCGAAAAAGAGGAAAACCCTCAAGGAGATTGGTTGACACAGTGGCTGCAATGACGGGCTCAAGCATAACAACAATTGTGGGTATGGCGTAGGACCTGGCAGTGTTTTGTCCCTATGAGTTGGAACCGACTCCACGGCACCTAACAATAACAGACTGAGGGGATCTTGTGTCACTCAGGCTGTTTTTGGGGTCTCTGAGGAGGACAGTATTTGTGGTCTCTGAAGCTGAAGAGATTTGGGGTGCTTAGGCTGAGAGGATTTGGGATCCACCGGGTTATAGGGATTGGAGAGTGCCTCAGGCTTACTCAGGAGATTTAGGGTTTCTTAGGCTGAGGGGATTTGGGGTCTCATTAAGGGGATTTAAGGTATCTAACAACGAGGTTATTTGGGGCCTCTGAGGCTGAGGAGATGAAGAGTTTCTAGGCTGATGGGGATATAGGATCTCTGAAGTTGAGTTAATTTGCGGTCTCTGTGGATGAGAGATTTAGGGTTTCTCAGGCTGAGGGGAATGGGGGTTCTTCAGGCTCAGGGTATTTGAGGGTTTAAAGATGAGGGGACTTGGGGTTCCTCAGGGTAAGGAGATTTGGGATCTCTGATGCTGAGGGTATTTGGAATTCCCTCAGACGGACGGGATTTGGAGCTTTTCGGGCTGAGGAGATCAGAGGTCTAACAGGCTGACATTTGAAGGTCTCGGGCTGACGGTTTATGAGGGTTTATAAGAGTTTTGAGGCATGGCAGAAGCACCCCATATCCTGTCAAAGTCTCCCCAGCTCCCCCGCGCTGCCCACGGGGCCGGGCGCCCTCTCCGAGTGGCTGAGCGCTCCAGCCCTGGAAAGGGAAGACGTGTGCGAGGTCAGGCGCAAGCTGCCAATCAGCGCGCGACCAGAGTGGTCTGACCAATCGGTGGTCAGGGTGGGGCGTGGGGGGCGGAGCTGGGCCCGTCAGTCACGGGACAGGGCCCACTCAGGACTTGGGCGGTGGGCGTGGGACCTGCTCTACCTTCCCGAGGAAGGTCCCACCCCACCCCGCGGGGACTGACGGTTCTAGGACCCAGATCTTAGGGGTCCTTGAGGGGCTGTAGCCTCCAGTCGGCAGGGCAGTCTTGCAGACGACGGTCTCAATCTTAGCTGTCGGGGTCATGCATGGGGGTGTGGTTTCCAACGTTCCCTCGCGTGCCCCTGTGCGGGGTGGAGACTGTCCCGGGGCCAGATGCGGGGCGCCAAGGTGGGGCCGGCCTGCAGGGGGCCTCGGGGCGCGAAGGCGGCCTCGGGGCGCGGGGGCGGCCTCGGGGCGCGGAGACGGGGGCGGGGCGCTTAACACTGGTAAAAATACGTAATTTGTGTACATTTAATCACACTACACGATCCTTTTACCCCAAATGGAGCCTGGTTTTTGGTCTTGATCTTGGGAGAGGGTTTGAGAGAACTGTTTAATCTCCCTTAGCTTTCCCACATTCAGTGATCAGAGACAGCATCAAGTAAAGAAAATGATGTGTCATTTTTATAAAATGAAAGTGAGCCGCTCACTTCCTCTTCTGCTGCTCGGACAGGAGAGTTTGTAAAATGCAGTCACTCCGCCTAAACTGGAAAGATCAGGTTGGATTCAAGGTCTGTGATTCCCATCTACGGATTTCAGATGTTTTAGGCTTACGAAAGTAGTGTGAGAGGTGAAATCCAGTGCTGTCTAACCCGGTTTTGACATGGAGAATCTCTATAGATAAACCTATCCCTCACGGTTTATCGCACACCTCTATCTGGACCCAGTTAAAATCCCCAACCCAGTCAATTAATTTTTAAAATAAATATAGTAGATACTTTATGTACATAAACCTATAAACCTATCAGAGATGAAGTTTTATGTATATTTTTAGAAACATTTTAAGAAACTGGTTAGTTGATGGCTCCAACAGAAATACTGGTATGTACAATCAAGTCCATTGCGACTCATAGCAGAAGTATGTTATTGTTCTTGTTGGGTGCTGTGGAGTCAGTTCCGACTCACAGCGACGCTAGGTACAACAGAACAAAACACTACCCGGTCCTGTGCCATCCTCCCAATCGTTCTGTTTGAACCCATTGTTGCAGTCACTGTGTCAATCCATCTCGTTGAGGGTCTTCCTTTTTTTCCCTCACCCTCTACTTTACCAAGCATAATGTCCTTCTCTAGGGACTGGTCCCTCCTGATAACATGTTCAAAGTTTGTGAGACAAAGCCTAGTCATCCTCACTTCCAAGGAGCACTGTGGCTGTATTTCTTCCAAGACAGACTTGTTTGTTCTTCTGGCAGTCCACGGTATATACAATATTCTTCGCCAATGCCATAATTCAAAGGCATCAATTCTTCTTTGGTCATCCTTATTCAATGTCCAGCTTTCCCATGCATATGAGTCGATTGAAAATATCATGGTTTGTCCTCAAAGTGACATCTTTCCTTTTTAACACTTTAAAGAGGTCTTTTGCAGCAGATTTGCCCAATGCAAATGCAAATTTGCCCAAATGCAATCATTTAATTTTCTGACTGTTGCTTCCACGGGTGTTGATTGTGGATCCAAGTAAAATGAAATCCTTAACAATGTCAATCTTTTCTCCATTTATCATGATGTTGCTTATTGGTCCAGTTGTGAGGATTTTTGTTTTCTTTATGTTGAGGTGTAATCCATACTGAAG